ATTACTGAAATAACGTATAATCTAGCTTTTATCAAACTGAAATGTATAATTAGATACAAAGAAAGAAGAAATCACAAAATATTTCAAAAGCGTTCTTAGATTTTTAGCGCCAAGGTAATTTTATTACTACCTATACACACAAAGGAATGTGTAAGCTGTAACCTAAGAGAAGAGTATCTCAGTGTGTGTGACTAAGAATGGATATGCAAAAATATCCAATCTCTATTTATTGTCAGCATCAAACTCATTACGGGACAAACCTTATACGCTGAAATCTAACTCTACACATATAAATCTATAATCAACAGACTTAGCTAATAATAAAAAAAAAATCAAAATGACAAATAGGCCTAATTGGTAGATTTTACCTGGATTCAACTAGATCTAGCAGCATAATTCCATTGGAAAAAAAAAAACTCTTCCCTGTCTGTTCTCGAATGACCCAAGTCTTCAATTGTAAACTCTGCTATGCAGATGCCCATGGCAATATATGCTCCGTTATCTGACAATTATTATTAGTGGCGCACATTACATATCTAATGCCTACCTACTGTTGAGATGAGATTGGATGAATGAAAACTTGTGCGTGTGTGTGTTTTTAAGATAATACAGGAGTGAAGCATAGCAGAGGAGTAGTGCTAAAATATTTTCCAAAAGCTTACCTTCAAAACACATTAATGAAAAACAAACACATATAGATAACCAAGAATATACAAACAAAAATCAATTAAAAATATTAAGATGCATTGTAAATATATATTCAGAAATAAAATCTGAGACGAATAATTTGAGCCATAATTCTGAAACATTTTAAATATTATAACATTCAGTATCTATAATATTGAATTACAATTAACTAATATTCAAAATGACATTAAATTCTTTTATAATTTTATCATATATATATATACAGGACATAAAATATCATACAAATTATAAATAATGAAATGAAGTACAACCATGAAAGGTGAAATCAAAATCAATATTCTCTGATAGGGTATTATAAGCCAAGTAAAAAAAAAATTAGTTTCTTGACCTAATATTTTGAAAAAAGGAGAATGAAGGCACTTTTCTTTTTTTTTTTTACTCCGAGATGGCAAATCCAAGATAGGAAACAACTACTACTTTCTCACTTTTACCAAGTAGACATATTGAAAGCAAATAAAAGAAGCACTAGACATGATTCATATCATAGGACCTATGTATCACCAACCACGGTGGCAGAGAAAATGATGCGTGTGCAAACAAGAAACTAGTAATTTTTTTTTTTTATTTGGCCTAATACAACAAAAGACATTCATTTCCAAAATTGTTTTAGAATAGTAATAAACAAAAAGATTATAATAGAAGTTAGAAAAGGCTCAGCGGAAGTTTAAATTTGGGGTGGAAAATTTTATCTCCTGGGGATATTTTATGGTCCTTGTAATGACACACGGAGGCGCCCGATATATTCCACAATTTCTTGAGAATTTGGCTTAAACCATGCATGAGTAGGCATTTACCTAACAACTAGTAAATGTCTTTTGTCCTGTAATCTGTTTGTTATGATGGACATGGTTAACTAGCTAATCACAGTATGGGGAGAGAGCCTTCACACCTTGCCACCAGGCAACCAATAATTAATAAAAATATAGGTGTTGTATAAGCTATAAGAAATAGGTCATTGATTTATGTGTATGATTCAACCAACCTGGTAAATCAGTGAAGTTACTGTGACAATGGGTTGAAATGGGACATTTATTATAGAAAAGGTTACAGCAACTGAATGGGAAGTATGAAAGCCTTATGGGTTATCTACTTTTGTCATCATTTTCACGGGAGTACAAACATCCAGGGATGGAGGGAAACAGTGAAGGTGAATATATTCTTTAATGAAAATGACCAAAACAATCTTAAAATGACATTTATTTTTTATTTATTACATTTCAGGATAAAGATAAATACAACAAAAAGTCCTCTAAATATAACCAAAGATGTTGAACACTATCGAGTGATCTCCAAGGCAGAAAAGAACAAACATTAGCAAAAAACAAGATCAAAACTAATATATAGGAACAAATATAAAAAAGAAATATACATGTTAAGTTTTTTAAATAATAAATACATGTATCAGAATTATTAAAAGCAAAATTCAATTAATTATTTACAATTTTTAATAATTTATTAGTAAATAAAAGATTTATCAAAAAATAATCCATTCACTTATTAATTACATTAACATCAATTAAATTCAATTAATTATTTACAATTCATATATCATTTATTTTCTTGGCGCTACCACTCAACTGTTAGTGCGAGGAATGCCAAAGCCTTCTTGCTAAGCCACTCGTCTGCTAAAACATTGAGATATGTGCATTTATGTGATGGAAAACGAAATATTCATTTTGATATCATGTAAATACTATATAAGAGTCAAACTTGTATTAAAAATATTAAAAATACAGTAAAACCTTTCTCCTTTAGGATACCACTATTAAAGGGTCCGGGCACAAAACAAGGGAAAGCATACATTTTTTAACACTACGTCCAACCCCTATTTAGGGAACACGCCATTAAGAGGACACATATTTTTTTTGGTCCCGAAGGTCCCTTAATACTATATGTAGTTCAGACATAATTCTTCATATATATACCTTAAAGAAATGACACAACCATTAAAATGTTCATATTAAAAATTTATGAATAATAAAAATGATTTAGATTTGATCCTATGACAACTTTGATTTATTGATGTTATGCAAAACTTGTAAAAAACAAACAAAACACACTATTTGGTCTACATTTTAAACTATAGATTAAAGTATGGTGATAGGATGAATTTGTTGGTGCTTTCTTGTACCTAAATATCTGGAAATTGAACCTGTTATGTCAAAAAACAAGAGGACAGGTTAAAGAGTATTTTTGGTTTGAAACACACCAAGAATCACAGGCAAAATTTGAAAAAATTTTTAGTCATTATAAACAGACCACTTATAATGCATTTTTGAGTTATCTACAGTAGGAAATAAAAATTATTTCCATTAGGTACCAGACCTCATCTAAACAACAAGGTGAAATCCATTTTACACAGTACATGACAATAGTATGACACAAGCAACTTTCGTGGCTTGTTCAGCATTTACTCAGCAAAGAATGACTGGAGAAATGATTGGTCAGAATATTTTTTATCACACAAGTTTTTGGAAATAGAAAATTATTCTATGCCGAGTGACACATCGTTCTGTCACATAGTCACATCATGCTCAGTGTGGACACCATAAAGAACACAATAGGTCTTGCTTTTCCCGCTATCGCATGCCTCTGTTGCGTTGTGTAAATAGACCTTTTGCAACCTATTCTTTTCTTATAGGAAGCTGGATCAGCCGTTGGTTAGGTATCAGAAGTTTAAAACTTCATCTTGGGGCAGGCAAAGGAGATGATGCTGAAAAATGTTTTACTCATGGCAAAGGTGCCGCTTAGTTCATGTTCATTACCAGCAAGAATATTTTAAAGAATTTGGAGTGACAGAACTAGAGCAGGTCCTAAGTTTTATTATCCAATTTTAAGCACAAATGTAAGCGTACAATAATGTTATACTAAGAAGGAAGACTAAAAACAACATGGGTGAGTAACATTAGAAAGCAGGCAAAGAATTTACACACATGGGTAAACATACAATGTCTTACTGAAGATGACAAATGGGCCAGGCAGGCGTCAGGGACGCCTGGCAGCCCATTAGGGAATCATGGTTAAATAAGTCTTGTAAGCTTTGGTATCAATCAAAGACATTGTCTAATACCAGCATTTTTAAAAGAAAAGTCTTGGAAAACATCCATATAAAAGAATGAATACATATGCATTATGAGCCATAAAGAAACATGAATGAATGATTGATTGATTGATTGACTGATTGACTGATGCATAATGAGACAGAGTAATGGTAGTTTGAAAACATAAAAACTAGATCTGCTGTTGTTGTTGTTGTTGATGATGTTGGTGAATCAGGCAGAGGACGAGGACACAATTATCAGTTCTTTCCCGAATAGTTACCATCTTGAACTCGTACACAGTTATGTTGTACAGTGGACCTTAATATATCAATCCAACCTGTTGTCTGCTGCCACTACAATATCTCATAATTAAATCTTTCCTTAGAATACAAAGCATTTATCAGTCCAATTTCTGAGTAGGATGAGGTCGGCAAGGATCGCACAAATCACTATCATCATTCTTTTACCTTTTCTTTAGGGGCTCAGAAATTCTAATGAACATTTCCAATAGTACGGTATATATGTTGATGTTTATGTGACAGGCTGATTTCGGCAATAAACCCACATCACACATCGTCCCACATCGTGGAACTAATTTGCCACCATGGAGGGGGGAGGGTGTGATGACCTCGAAAAAAGAAATATACTCCTACTTTTTAATGTACACAATGACATAACATTAACATAACAGCTTGTATTAGCATGTGTAGGGAAAGCAAAAAGAGGTTTCTAGGGCAATAATCTATGAGGCAGATTAACGTTCAGATGTCCATTAATAATGCAAGTGTCTGTTAAGGAACAATGTATAAAAAATAGGTTAGTGACAGGAAACATATTATGCATAACAAAAATGATGACCTGCATCTTAAAGTTGGTCATCATTTTTCTTATGATAATAATGTCTCAATCTTATATTTTATGTAGGCCTATTACCTATTGTTTGGATAAAGAGGCAGACTGAAACTTCAGTTCAAGACCATACCAACAAGACTGGTATATGCTGAGTGAAGAAAGAGTTAGAGGACCATCATTCACAGCAAATCATTCATAGTTGAAGATGATGAAATGGAGCGATGATGAGGTCTGTTTTGTAAAGAACAATCAGTCTCCACAGTTAGCGCACACACAGTAACTCCAACAGTTTAGCCAACTGACTAAATTAAGCCACCGCTCGACATATGATCTTGAACCATAAAGTCTTTGTTACAGCAAAATGTTCAATATTCAAATGAGAAAAAACATTACACTCACCACAAGCGTAGACTACCTTGAGGTACTTGTCGGTGCCCGGTTCGCACCCGGCTTTGAAAACTTTTGTACTTGCTTTTACTGTACACTGTCTTCTGCCATGACAACGCATCATCATTTCCTCCACAGCGTTCTGAGAATCGCAACCTAAATTAAAGATAAAGAACCGTTATGTCTATTTTAATATGTATAGTTTCCAAGATTTGTATTGCTAAGTTAGTGAGCAATATCAACTTCCAGATAGATATATCATGCATCTCAATTTTAGCTGATATTTTTTAATTTTTTTTTTTACTATATTAATGTTGATTACTGTTTCTACATTCTTTACAAAAATACTTAAATTCATTGGAAATCAATGTAACCAACAGTTGTTTAAGAAAGAGTGCAAAATCTAGTATAAAATTGTGCCATGGGCAATGCTTTTGTTGTAAGGTCTTCATGGTTTTCTTTGTCACTTCCATTCATTACTCTACAGAATTAGGTCATTTGCCTAGGATTTTAGGAAAATGAAAACAGAGGATGAGGGCTAATTTTTCCCTTTTGTCTTTTTTGTTAAAAAGATGGTAAATACATACACACTGTGGCTTATGATTACTGCATTTTACATACAGGACATTTATTGCTCATAAGAATGCTTCAATTTCTGTAGCATCTTTGAGTGTTTTGAACATAAACAACTTTTTATTTAACTAGATTTGAACTCGTCACTGAGGACGAGTTAGGTGATCCGCCGCACTTTGACCCTCACGAAGCACGCACGTTTCTGATTGAAAAGTATTATATGCTAAAACATGCTCTATTTAAAGAGTAATTTTGAGCATTTTAAAAGAAATTTTAAACTAGGAAAAGAGTAATTTTGAGCATTTTAAGGACTTACGAATGTATAAATATACGTCTTAACATCCGTGTGCACGGTGGTATTAATACAGTGTCAGAAACCCAACACATGTAACGGAAACGTAATTTCCAGCTTCAGTACGTGCTGTTGGCGTGGAAATGAGCGTACGGCTCGTCAATTTTGGAAAGTTTTGGAATATTCAAAATGACTTGAAACGTGCTTTAAAATATCTGAAAAGTGATATTAACAATTTTAAAATTTTAACGCACAAGTACGAATACATTATACGACGTGCCTGACGATGGTTATCAAAGGCTGGACGAAAAAAAGATGAGGGGGTAAGCAAAACCCTATATTTTGACCATGATGACGTCATCAAAATGTAAAAAATTGCAACATATGTTCGGTCCTCATTTTCCTTATCTTTATTTTTGATGCCGATTTGAAATCAGGAGACAGAAAGGATATCTTGTTAGCAATAATCATTAATGGGGCTGACTGTCTACACTTAGCTCGTTACCTTCTTACAAACCGTTGCTAACAGACACAACAATCACTCATACACACATTAAACGGTTCCATTCAATTATTTGCCAGCACATGAGGCATACAATAATCATAACAGATTATTACCAGCCTAAGTAATTGCAAGACAATAGTCAAGTGGCGTGGGTTAATATACTCAGTTACTTTGTCGTTATTCACACTGAATTTAATTCCTAGTAAATCTATTTTAGGAAAATAAAATAACCTGGAATCGATTCATGAATGACAAAAGTATATAACCCGATCTAGATTGACCACACCTAGAATAGATAAACCCAAAAATGATTAAATATTGTTCTAATAAGTTGAAACAATGCACTAATTATTCTTTATTGCTTATAATCATTTTGATACCACCACAGATTTACAGAAATTATATTGTTGTCAATGAAAGAATAACAGTACTGGTACATGTTCTCTAGATTCTGGAATTGTTTACTATGAATAATTTGGCCATAAAAGGACCATAAACATACTTTAGTACATCTAAGTGATTCTAAATATAGTTTTAAATTTGGTGACGATTACATGCATACCCCTCCACACAAGTCTATAAATATATATTCTTACTACTCTTAAACTGAAGAGATAAGAAGCAAGAAATAAAAATATATTATACTGCCCTCTTTTGGTACTTGTAGTACTGAAGTTGATTTTCTACACAATGAACTGGCGAAAACTGCTTACATATTAACAAAATAACAATACGTTGCACTAGTTGTAACCAAATGACAACTAAATCTTTAAAGTTGGCAGACAGATAAAGAGAGCCTAATGTCGGCATTATCAATGGGTTGAATAACTGTAATTCATAGAAAAGGAATGCTTTTCTCACAACCATATTCATTCATTTCTCACAACCATATTCATTCATATTCTTACGATGACAGAAAAAAAAATCACAAACCTCTTTGTGTACACTTAAAATGAGTGAATTCATGCAATTGGTATCATGTATCATTTGCATAAAAGCATTGAGAACAGTCAGATGAAAAGGCAATTATGGGGTAGAGCCTAAAAGGGGTTAACAAAGCTGGTCAATTTTGACACTGTTCATCTTTTTCACAAGGTACAGTTAAATAAACAATAAACAAAAGTACTGATATGATCTGCTAAAAACGTCTAAAAATTGACAATAAGATTGAACAGTATTCCAATAGACAACCTGGCACATGCTGGATGTTGTCACTGAAAACCAAATTTTTCTTTTAAGTAAATTTGGATCTGAGCAGACAAAAATAAAAACACATAACCCAGGAAGATGTAAATACTAAATAAAATACATAATAAAATAGTCTAAATAAACAAAACAATAATAACAGCAGCAAAAAATAAAATTCATGTTTCTTTAACAAACCTATATTCTTCATACTATATGATGGACAAATGCCATTCTTTACATTTGCCTCTCGTCCAAACATGGCTGATTTGATCGCTAGCAATTCGTTGTTGTTACACACAAGCTGCATCTGTTGATCTTCGCATTGTACAGCTTCAATATAAACACCTATAAAAACAGGTATAAAAATACATGTTATTATATATAACAGCCTTGGTTATTAGGTGAAACTTGAAAAATACATAAAATAATACATTAAATTCACATGTAATAATAAATGGTGAATCCAGGAATTCAAAATAGAGGGGCCCAGGGAGGTGTTTGCACAGGCACTACCATGGTTGGGGTTGAAGCAAGAAAAAGTATGATCAAGACACAGAAATGGCTCAGGATTAAGCCAGAGTGCTCAGAATTGAGCCTCTGCAAAAAGTTTATATAATTTGTCTATAAAGAATTACAATATCATTCTGATGGAATTCAAATTATAATATTATAACTGCATATGAATTACAGTAAGTTATATGTAAAAAAACTTTGATGGCCTGGTTGTTTTTTTAATAACAGTTTTCCTAATCAAATATGTTCAATGGAAGATAACGTATCTGGTAGCAAACATTTTCAAGTGCCTCACTTCAGGTTAATCGACACTTCAACAAATTTGACCAGCATTCACTCTATATGTTTATAATATAGCAATTTGTTGAAGTGTGTATATTGAAACTTCTTTGCAAAGTTGATGGTGATTTATCAGGGCATGCACACACAAAACTGGTCTTCCTATCTAGCCCTGAGCCAGAAAAAAAAGGGAACGTGACGGAGAAGACACTTAAGGAAAAGGGAGCGTGACAGAGAAGATCACTTAAGTAGGAAGATAATCATTTTTGACATTTCTGGGGCTAGATTTGAGTGAATAAATTCAGATAGTAAAGTAAATATTGTTCAAATTACTATATATTGTCCTGGTATTGTATTGTTTTGTCTCTCTCATGTGAATCCATAATATATAAGAAATTCTAAACATGGATGCTTGGTTGCATGGAACTTAATCTAATCTCTATGATTGAAGGCTTGGTACTTGATTAGTAAACCATTTTTGTTTCTTTTCCTTGTTTGCATATTTGATGCAGCATCCCACCTTACTCTAGTGTTTAGGTTTGTTTTTTCTCTAAAGTTCCTAAAATGTATTTATATTTTCAAAGAAAATATATACTGATTCCACTCAATGCACAGATGAATGGATTCCCCTAGAAATGTTTCCTGGTGCAACAATGAAAATCTGATTGTTCTTATCACCAAAAGTTTGCAATATCCATGCCAAAAAATCAGAAGCCCTCCTACTTGCAAAGTAATGCAATGAAGGTTTTGCCTTAGTCCTAAATTAAGTACAAGGGACTAACAGCATTATGTTAGTATTCCACTGAGATTATTCACTGGTAAAATGCCAGATCACACATGAGTACTGTGGAATTAATGATAAATTCCTTTGCTTAAGAACCATATTCTCCTGCGGTTTTGCTGGTACAGCCAAGAACATGGTCAGCAATCCCAAAAGGCTTCTTAATCAAATCACACATAATAACTTCTCAACTCCAGTGCAAGTTATGTGATTGGCCTACATTTTAAATTGATGACAAAAAAATAAAAGATGGCAAATTAGGCCATACAGTACAAAGAAAACCTATAATTTTTGTCCACTTCGACATCATTTTTTCCCTGAGCCTCCATATTTTATTGGTTGAACTTTAATGAGGTAAAATATCTAATATATTTATGAGTTTATGTGTGCTTGTGATGGTGTTTTATCTACCCGGGACACTATTTAAACTATAACCATCATCATATAAAAAAATTTAATTAAAAATGAACAGGGAACTTTAGATACAATATAGAATTATGCACTAGCAAAAAAGGAATGTAAAACCATAAATTTACCGTCTCTATTAATTGCCTTAGAAATAATTAAAGAGTTAGGGGATGGCAGTTTCAACTGCTTGTGGATCCATTCTACTTCTACTACAGATCAAGACAGAACTCTTACTGCATTAGTTTGACAAGATCATGCAATAGTCACGAATAAAGTACATAATGGTCACTTAGATTTACATGTAAATGGAACTAAATGCATTACCATCAGTCAGCTTTAGATTGCAAGTTAAGATGTTTGCTTTCAAATTTGAAGGTGTTTGGTTCATATAGCAACAAACAACAAAACCATCAGTGTTTAGTTGGTTTTTTTTTTTTACACCTGTACCTTACTTGGGTCAGTGTCGCTGCATTGGTGTCATATTTCGACATCTTATGGAGGGGCACTATGAGCGTTTTCCTTTCAACAAATATCGGCACTTTATAAATTTTCAATATTATTATTATTATTATTATTATTCCCCTTCCTGATCCTTGTAATGACACATAAAGCATAATTTCCAGCCATTAAGTAGCGAGCTACTTATTGCTAAATTGAGAAAATTCAAATTTTATAATCCAAATTTTGATGCAAATTCACATCACATACAGTAAATCACGCTGTCTGTCATATAGACACCTCATAATATTTTATTTTCCTTTTTGATCGGATGAAAGTGGACCCTATAAATTATGACCCAAAAACGTGTCTGCAAACTAAAGCTCCATAGAGGTATGATTTAACAAATGGGTCTATAATCTGAGTTATATTTTGGATTGGATTAGATTCGTTATCAAAAAGAGATTTTGTTCATTACGTCTTAAATAAGGGATGCTGAGAATTAGATGAGCAGCCAATCAAATGCTAGTTTCGAAGATTGTAATCTTTACTGGTTAAAACAGGATTCTTATTTTGTTCGAACATAATTTAATTTATCTAGTACTAAGATACCGGTAGTTAAAAGGGAAGTGAAGGGATCTTCCTCTTTTAAGTGGACAGAACGCTTTGCTGCCGGACAAGATGGAAAATGGAAAATATTTAATAACATGTTTTCATTGTAAATAAATCAAGTAGATGAGGCCTGGATTACAGTCTAAAAGATAAAAGTAAATTCTCCTGCAGGCATATAATTCTGCCCATACTATTTCACTCAGAATTCCAAAAATGTTCTAAGCATGTATAGCAAATACATAATGTTGGTGCTAAGTGTGTATCTATATCATCAATTTTTACTTCATGATATTTATTTATTTAATCAGCCATTAAAAATACAAGGTAATAAATATAATTAAAAAATTCAGAAATCAGCTTAGGAAAGCCAAAAGTAACCTTAAATTAAAAAGAATATTAAGTACATTGTATAATTACTGTTGCCATAAATTACTGATAAAGAAATGTTGCTTAGCCTTAGGAAAATATAAAATAAATAATTATATCAATATTTTGTAATAATGTTATTTAATAATAATTATTATATATATTTTTAATGTGTATGGAATGATATTATATTAAACTTTTCTTGCCTACAATCTTTGATTAAATGAGTTAATTATTTTTTCCCATTTTATAATACAGTGTTTAAATAAAGTTTATGGAAGAAAGAATGTTGGTTCATTTTTCATGAGCAAATTGAATGCAATATTACATACGTGGCTTGCACTTGTAGGTGACTTCTGCATACTTGCTGGTCCCGGGACACGGATCTCCACCAAACTCTTCATCCGTTATCCTGAACGCGCACTCCCTCTTGCCATCACATAGGTTCACCATAGTCTAAATAAACATCAGCATCAAAGAATATTTTATTACAATTTATATCAAAGCAGTACATTGGCATGGTGCTAAACTTCAAATCTGAAGGTCTTAGGTTCGAGTTAATATGCATTAAGCCTCATTAAAGAAGACTTGGTTATAGAGCAAGATAATATTTAGAAAGGTATCTAGCAGAGTCCAAGATCACAGCCTCTTATTTCAATATCACATAGGTGTGCAGTATTATTCCTCTTTCCCCCTCCCCTGCCTGTAGTATGACAGGAGCTCAACTTGTCTGAATGTCTAAATAATCATCTGTCATTTATTTACCTGTTGTTCGTTACATTTCCCCAAGGTCATTTTCTCTATGTAATCCCAATTATATTAAGCACTTTGGAATAGAAAACATTTTTCTTGGTTTCTTGTGAAGGTTTGATTTTCCCCCAAACCAAAACCTACTCTCTGAGTCACATGGTTGTAATAGTTTCTATAGAAATGTCTTATCGATGTGATTTTGGGTGCTTTGCCGTAGTTTAATAACCAAGGTAAAAACCTACTCCATCAACAATGCACCTATTTACAGACTAGATGTGCTGGGTTTGTCTATCATTTTATACCTGTAATGAGTTGCTGGCGTGACAGTTAACATCCTCCTCAAAGTCTTCTTTAAACATGTTCATGAAATCAGGACACATCAACCGACTTGACAATCGCCGGCCATAGTTTGCTGTCTGTACACTGATTACAGTAGACTCTGGGCATTTCAGCTCTACTTTTTCTTTCTGGCAGGCGTATGCAAGGTTTGTCCTTAATGTCATTGATACCAAGTCTATGATAGTAATAAAAAGAGAACATTATTGAAATATGAGGAAATTGAGTGCAATATTACATACGTGGCTTGCACTTGTAGGTGACTTCTGCATACTTGCTAGTCCCGGGACACGGATCTCCACCAAACTCTTCATCGGTTACCCTGAACGCACACTCCCTCTTGCCATCACATAGGTTCACCAGAGTCTAAATAAACATCAGCATCAAAGAATATTTTATTACAATTTATATCAAAGCAGTACATTGGCATGGTGCTAAACTTCAAATCTGAAGGTCTTAGGTTCGAGTTAATATGCATTAAGCCTCATTAAAGAAGACTTGGTTATAGAGCAAGATAATATTTAGAAAGGTATCTAGCAGAGTCCAAGATCACAGCCTCTTATTTCAATATCACATAGGTGTGCAGTATTATTCCTCTTTCCCCCTCCCCTGCCTGTAGTATGACAGGAGCTCAACTTGTCTGAATGTCTAAATAATCATCTGTCATTTATTTACCTGTTGTTCGTTACATTTCCCCAAGGTCATTTTCTCTATGTAATCCCAATTATATTAAGCACTTTGGAATAGAAAACATTTTTCTTGGTTTCTTGTGAAGGTTTGATTTTCCCCCAAACCAAAACCTACTCTCTGAGTCACATGGTTGTAATAGTTTCTATAGAAATGTCTTATCGATGTGATTTTGGGTGCTTTGCCGTAGTTTAATAACCAAGGTAAAAACCTACTCCATCAACAATGCACCTATTTACAGACTAGATGTGCTGGGTTTGTCTATCATTTTATACCTGTAATGAGTTGCTGGCGTGACAGTTAACATCCTCCTCAAAGTCTTCTTTAAACATGTTCATGAAATCAGGACACATCAACCGACTTGACAATCGCCGGCCATAGTTTGCTGTCTGTACGCCGATTACAGTAGACTCTGGGCATTTCAGTTCTACTTTTTCTTTCTGGCAGGCGTATGCAAGGTTTGTCCTTAATGTCATTGATACCAAGTCTATGATAGTAATAAAGAGAGAACATTATTGAAAATGAGTTTTTTTCATGGACTCATTCGGTTGATGGGTTTTTGTAAATGTTCATAAACATGATTCAGTAACTTTCACCTCAATTTTAACAGCTAGGAATATTATACATTCATTATGTCAATAAAGTGGATGCCAACTACACTTTTGCTTTTTATAAGAACACCGAGGCTGAGAATACTTATTAAGAATGAAATACAAACAAATTGAGGCTGAGGTAAATTGTCAAATGAGTTTTTTATTTAAGAACCTACAAATCTTATCTGTACCTTGGTGCAGTAGGTGTGACTATGTTTATACCCTCTATAATACACCACATTAACATACTGCTGCACAATAATAATTATCTATGAACTTTGGAAAGTGAAAAATAATTTAAAAAAAAAAAAAAAAATTGAGCCTAAAATCGATAAAAACAAATAACACTGAATATGGGCAAAATTGTACTGGTTCTGATTATTAAAGAAAAAAAAGTGATAAGCAAACTATGATTTTATGCTTTAGTCCTTTTGTCTTAATTGTATGCTTGAATAATTAACTTGCTTTAGGTCTATAATACACCAAGTTTATGTTAACTTCACATTCACCTGAAGAAGTGCACTGTGTGCACGAAAGCTTGTGTACTGTCATAAATAAACTAGTCATAAAAGTACTGAATATCCTTAGTTTTATTTTCTATATGATTTTATTGGGAGTTGAGACAAGTAATTCAACACCTGTGGTGAATCTCAGAACAAAATGTAGATGCAAATTTCTAGTACCAGAATTATGGCGAGTTATGGAGAGTTGCTACAACAATAAGTCATTCTCCCTCCTCCAACATTTTTTCATTGATTAATGTCGCGCGGTTAATAAAGACCAAATTTAATGACATTCCTTTATTTGACCACTGATTTTGGTATAAAAACTAACTAAAAAATCATTGTATTCAAGAGTTGTTTTCCAGTTGACAGACTTCTCACTTCTGGTCAAGTGGTCAGTTATCAGCATTTAATCCAAAGACGGATAAAATCAGACCTCTGTTTAATTGAAAGAAACTTTACATGGAATTTGTGGGATCCTTTGCACTATCAGAGGTGACAAAAGACTCAGACATTCACTTTGCCATTGTAATCTGGGTTGGCACCAGTTTCCCTAAGGATGTGGCCACCTGCTTGTTGGAAAATGACCACTAGGTTTATCCATGATGTGACCAGAGGGTGTGACCCACAACCAATAAAGATACCATCTGACCTTAAACCCATGGTCGCTGAACTTTAGGTGTACTGGTGGTTCCAAGATGACACAATACAGGAAACACTAGAAATGAACTGCTGATTAATGTCTATCAATTAATTAATGCAAAGGTAGATTACTTCCTATAAACATTTATAGGTCTGAAAAGAACAATGCACACATATTTTCAACAGCCTGAACTACATAACCCAGATATTCTCAATGGGGTAATACCATTTGTTTCAAGACAGTAGTCAACAGATAAATCATCAGCCCACCTGAAGGACTAATTTCCTAAATTTCCTCCCAGAAATCTTTCCTCCAGCAAAATGGTCCCAAAGGATGGCAGTCTAATGAGGAACATTGATTCTTAAAATTGGTAAACAAGAAAATGATGTTGAATTCATGGGATTCTGAGTTTCCCAGTTCAGCGTTAGCTTGATTCTTGTTCAAGGGACTATTAATGGGGGTGGTAATTGAGAGGTAGCAGACCTCTGCTTAGAACATGGATGATAATTAAAGAGTTAGTGACCCTTAATACAGTAGAATGGAAGATTGATTTATTGTAATTATCTGAATATAATTTATTCATGGGCCTATATCCTTTGGTTACTTTTTTTTAAACAGTGACCTAAATTACTTTAGGAATACATTTACTTTTGGGTGGACCTCATCTCTCTTTTTACTCTGTCAATTTGCTTGCTGCTATTTATATAATTATTCATATGTACTCCACACATAAATTATAATATTTTATATATGATAAAGATAACATAGTCATCCTTTTTCACCTTAATACACATTAAGACAAAACAATAAATAACTTTCTGAAATTTGATTCTAAAGATCCAAGCTTATGATATGAATAAATTAAAATGAAATTGCAATGATAATAATAATGATTGGATAATTTGTACGTAGTCCTTACACTATATTAAAAGTAAGCTATACTTACCTAATGTTTTTACTTATCAATAAATTGTTTTAATATTAAACATTCATTTTTAAGCAAAGACTAAGGCCTACATTCAAAGAATGTTAAAAATGATATTACAAAGCATTTTAATATAACAAATTAAAAATACTAGTAAACAAGTACATAAGGTCTATAATTTTACATTGAAATTTAAACTGGGCAATCAAGAAGGCAATACCTCAACAAGATATTTCACCAATGAAGTCATGCATTTTGTATGCTATGACCTATGATCTAAACACATTACTCTTGTTGTGAAAAATTAAAGTGTCAAAAGGCCAATGGTGCTGACTGAAACACTCACAAGCCGTAGGCTACATACATAGGAAACGTTACATTCAAAATCGCCATAAGACAGATTAGACCTATAGTCACAATAAAATCTGGCAAAATTTCAATGAAAGCATTCAATATTGATTGCTCATAATTTACCAGGATCAAGCAAGATTTTACCATTAAAATGAGACAGAAACAGACATTTATGGTTTACTGAACAGACACCAGGATTTGATTGACGGGAAGGCCAAGTTGTTCAACCAGGACCTCTCTATTTCCCTACAGTGAGGTTCAGAGACAAAGCTCTGTTGGGGGGGGGGGGATCTAGAGTGTGGCCCTGGCGGGATGTTCTGCGTGTTTGCATTTAATGGCCAATAAGACCAGGGCCCCCGTCGTTGGGGAGAAAAAGCACAATTTGTCGGGGAGAAAAAAAAATTATATGTATTTTCTACATATTAGTAGACTCTAAAATCGATTAAACAAGCCTTTGAAACCCATAAATTTTCACTTTCGAAACCTTTCAATCAAAGCTCGACCACATCAACTTTGCTTTCGTCAGGGAAATCTATCCCTTCGCCATCCGTCGGGAAAATCCTGGTGCCATTCCTGCACTGCACAAGTGAAGTTTGTAATGATCTTGAGTTAGCGAGTCACTAAATTAGAACGATGAATAAGAAATAAACATTAATTATTTAAAGACCAAAAGGCATACAATTTGACAGTTACAAGATGATGATGCTGTCAAAAGATGTACAGAACACCCTATGACCTAGTGGTCCCTGACAGGACCTACTAAATTGTTGTGATGATGATGATCATGAAGACAGACTTCTAACTATAAAAATGCTTGGTTTTTGAGTAGAAAGTGGCCAATGACAGGGCTTCAGGGAAGTAAGGCAACACTACTGAATTATACCAGGATATGGTTAAGACTTTCCTTAGGGAATGTTAATAACTTGTGGTACTGATGTCTGCTACATAGCCCAGGTTCAATGACACCAGGAATACTGTTGAACATTTGTAAACAATTTGCAACAGTTTAATATTATTTTCTTCAAAAATGGACTTGTGTAGACTTTACCAAACAATCAACATTGGTTGATTTGGGTTTAATCTTCGAACACGTAGACCTGTATCAACTGTAGGTGTACATTAAATCTAATAGACTTTTGTATTCATACTTCCATCTAATGAAATCAGTGCAGTAAAACATTTAAAGAAATAACAGGCCTACTCATTTTGCCAATTTAATTTTTTTTTCTACATGAGAGCTTTTCCCTTGGTTATTAAAGTAACCCTGGACCAGCAGTTCCCATAGGAAACCCCTTCAAAGAATTCTGGTACAGTAAGGGCCTAGCTGCTATGCGGAAGAGAGGGTATTACAGTACAGTCTCCAGTGTTTATGTGACAAAACGAGCTATGTGGTGTTACCTCATATTTTCTTATTTGGCCCAGTTTTTGTATAACAAGGTAACTAAAAGCATGTTTCACAGCAGGTTACTATGGAAACTGAGCAGATGCTTTAAATCATTACTGTGTCTTATTACAAGAAAATTGTCTTCATGTAGAGTTTTACCACAGATTTAGTTTCTACATTTAAGTGATATCTTAAAGAATACGAGAATCACTTTATATGTAACGTGAGACCACTTCAGAATTGACTATATATTTCATTGCTATATTATTTTTATTAAATACTAGTGTCCCTATCACATGTGATGTGATGATGAGGAATGTACAAACATTTACCCAGCAAAATTACATTCACAAAACTTGTGAATGTTGTGATTAGGCTCTAAATGAAAATATTATCACAACATTGAAGCAATACTTACCATGTTATTTAGTCAGAAATGATGTTAAAAATAAATTTTTATTGTTCTACAAGACATTTTGAACTTACTGTAACAAACTTGCAATGCTATTATAATGTGTAGTTGTTAAGTACTTATAATTTAAATGTAATTTTTGTTGTGATTATGTCATGAGGGATATTCCTTTAAAAGTGGTAAACCATGAAATGGACTTGGGTGTCATAACTGACCTTAAGCTTGATTTTAACTTGCACATTGCCACTGTGTCCAAGAAACCTAATTGTAAATTAAAGCCCCATTCCCGGCAAAATTTCAGTTTTTAAGAAAAATCTAATTTTTGTATAATGTTATAAAGATTTATAAATATAATACGGAATTGCTAGTTTAACTGAATTTAGACATTCCTAAGAATGAAAAAAATGTAAAATAAGACTGAAATTTGATTTTTTTTTGTGTTCCACACAAAAAATAAATGCGGATTAATTTTTCATGTTTGATTTTGCGGTAGGTCGGGAGAATAAATATTGTAGGCGCCGAAAACATTAGCCTACCCAACGCTGCTAGGCTATGCCTAGCCTTACCTCGATTTAGGTTCTGTTATCACACATAAAAACGGCCAACATGATATTTTCCGTTGCTAGTATTGACACTTGTGAAATATAATATTTCATAGGAATTATTTCAAATTTGTTA